TGAGCACACTACGTGTTTCTGAGGGAGTGTTTTCATAGACTCAGGAAGTCAACCGCTCGTTCGAGGACAGAGGAGAGCGCGGCTGACAATAAACGTGAAGTTTATGAAAAATAAGACTTTTAAAAAAGGAAAAACCACGAATACATGTTATATTGCACCCCATAAATACAATCATGCAAAGAAAAAAAAGTCAAAAATTAAAAAAAAATTAAAAATAAAATATCTCCGAAAGAGTCTCATTGTGCAAACTGTCTAACAGCTAGATCTGTGTCAGCATGGTACATATATACCAACACTACCAAAAAAAAAAAAACTACTAATGAAAGAAAGTGGAGTGTCTTTCATATGCCAAATGCAGCAAAAGATAAGCATGGATGTACGACGAGCTGCCGATTTACACCTGCTAGCCTATGGGGACCATGGAAGCTCTCTGGTGATCAGTGTGATAAGTGATCCATGTTGTGCGAGCGGTAGCCAATAGCCCTGTGGGCTGACTGCCTCCACTTTTACAAAGGTTATCATCAAGTGTTGTAGGATTTTAAGTAAGAGAGCATGCAACCCGAGAGTTAGGTTTGATCTGTTAAATGGTATTCTGGGAAGAAGCTCAAATTTGCGAAAATAAGTGCAAGAGAGTGTGTTACAGATCTGAATGCTGGGTAATCTGGCCCTGCAGCTAGTGATTAATACCTGGGTGTCCGATCCCATAAAATTTGGAGTCTGTATATGCATCCACAGGCGCGCCACAGGCTTGGATGGCGTCTGTGTACATACTTTGAAAGTTCTCTACTCAACGCTGCATAATTCCCTCTCTCTCTTCATTTCCTGCAGAGTCCAACACCACAGGAAACAGGGAGAGAGAACAGTAATGGAGTAACCAGCAGAGATAAAGAATAACATTATGCTGCTGGCCAAAAATAAATAAAAAAAAACAACAATATGAAACCCGGACCGATCTTTTCCTGTTGTTCAGACACAAAGTCATCCTGGGCATCTAATTCAGATTTCACAAGTGTGTGATAATCTGCAGGTGTCTTTTCTTCTTCTGTTTGGGGAAGAGACAGCAGATTTTGAAGAATTTGACTATGTTGGAGTCTGGCAGCTAACACAAGCTGGCTAGACGAGGTGAATATCAAACTTTTAACACTGCTCTCTTTTAAAACAGCTTTCTTGTAGCTCAAACAGAAGAGTGTTGGCGCTTGCAACGCCAAGGTCATGGGTTTGATTCCCAGGGAAAGCAAGAAGAGCCTGACTGTTCTTATACAGTCAATTCTGTTTCTTCAACTTCTCATCGTTTACTGTCCAATCACTAAATGTCGCATGAAGGAAAAATAGCAATGTGTCATATAAGTCATATTAAGGCCCACTCTAACATCCCAGTGATGCTTGCCAAACAAAAAGAGCAAAGAAGGACATGCACTCTCAGAGAGAGTGAATGCATTTGAAGTACATGCACTCTCACTGCTGCCATTAGCAGAAATGCCTCACACCTGTCTGGGTGTGCTGTATTAATGCGTGCGGAAGTAGTTTGTGGGTAAAGTAGATACACAGAATGGGTGAGAGTACATCTGGACCATTGAACTGCCATTGCGATGGAAATCACATCCATCTACTGTCTCCTCTGTGCCATTCATCGTCCTCTCTGTGACAGATTTACAAACCGATTCTGGTGTAAGCCTGACATGACCATCAATTAGCATGCACATTCATAATACCAGACCTTGCACTCAGGTATGGCTTTCTTTCTCCACTTTTAGACTTTACTCAAATGTGCCAAGATAACAGAAAACTGCATGTAACAGAGCAACATTTATGAGTGGTGGAAAATGTAAGACAGGACTTGATTTAGTTGGATTCTGAAAAGTGAGTGGTTATTGGTGAATATTTCTTTTTCACCTTTCAGAGGTACTATAATATTACATTTTGATGAAAGATTGTGATTTATATATATATACACGTATATATATATATATATATATATATATATATATGAAGAGTTCAGATGCAAAAGCCTCTAAGTGCCATTTGAAATTTTCTTCTAGAATGATAATTTTTATCAAGCTTGTATGTTTAAGTTCAGTAATTTCACTTAAATTGCAATGAAGATAACCTATTAATTGTCATTTAAGTGAAATTACTGAACTTAAACATACAAGCTTGATAAAAATGATCATTCTAGAAGAAAATTTCAAATGGCATTTAGAGGCTTTTGCATCTGAACTCTTCATATATATATATATATATATATATATATATTAAAAATATATATACAGTATACAGTATGTACACAAAATAACAACATGTACTGACGAATAATGAACAGCAAGACTAGGGAGAATCATTTAAAAACAACATGGATCAATTTGGATTTCATTTTGGAAATAAAATAATGCCAAATGTTTTTAAAACAAAAAAAAAGCTTGTTGAATTGTACTCACTAAAAAAAAAATGCATTGCATTAATGCATTGCCATGATATAAAGTTAAAGGAGTAGTTCACTTTAAAAAAAAAAAAAACGGTTGCTGATAATTTACTAACCCTCATGTCATCCAAGATGTCCATGTCATTCTTTCTTCGGTTGAAAAGAAATGAAGGTCTTTGATGAAAATATTACAGGATTTTTCCATATAATGGACTTTACCGGGCACCAAACGGTTTTCAAACCAACACCAAAAGGTCCAAATGAGAGTTTCAGTGCAGCTTCAAAGGGCTTTAAACAACACCAGGCCATGAATAAGAGTCTTATATCGCAAAACGATTGGTCATTTAAAAAAATAAATAAAAAACTTTAAGTTTTATAAGCACAAATGCTCGCCTTGCTCTGTTCTGTGATGCACGTTCGCAACTCTCCTGTTTAAACTCGTTCATCAAAACGAACAAATATTTTTTCGAGTCATTTCGTTAATTTCGTTAGTTGAATGAACCAAATGACTAGAAAAAAGATTTGTTCATTTTGATGAACGAATTTGAACAGGAGATTCACGAACAAGCATCACAGAACAGAGCAAGGCGAGCATTTGTGCTTATAAAACTTAGTTATTTATTTATTTTTTAAATGACAGATAGTTTCGCTAGATAAGACCCTTATTCATCGTCTGGTGTCATTTAAAGCCCTTTGAAGCTGCACTGAAACTATCATTTGGACCTTGAACCGTTTGGTGCAAATCTTGGATGACATGGATGGGGGTGAATAAATTATCAGCAAAAGTTTTTTTTTTTAAAGTGAACTACTCCTTTAAGGAAACTAAATAACCGAGAGAAATGTGTCTACAACCTCAGATTTATAGTTAGATCTGTACATCAGCATTGGAGAATTAAATTATAATCTCATTAACGGTAGAGAAAGCTGCTTACATGTTAAAAGGTAACCGTGAAGACGTAAACACATCTTTATCAGTCTTTCCATATGTATACTTGCCCTGATAATCATCACAAATAGGTACTTACCACTTGCTCCATTTCTGTAAATCCATTTTAATTAACGAATGACTCTCTCAACCGGTTCCTCTAAAAGTCTTCGTCAATAGCTGCTTGCAGCCCCTGCTAATGAGGCCGACTAACAGCAGATGGAGATTGTGAATCGGCAATCCACTTATATTCCTGCATTTTCCGGTTGAATTTTCAGTTGAAATTAAACCACTGGATTTGTGGAAGCAAATTTGTAAAGTGAAATCAAATGGACCGAAAATGGCCTGTCGAATATTATAGGTTGTATTTTTAAACAGAATGACATTTTGGAAGTGAATATAAAGGTGAATATGGATTACTGAATTTTTAATAATGCAAATATGAAATATTCACAGCTTAAATATACAACCATGTTGAATTTTAGCCCCTAAAAATACAAATGCACTAAAATGCAAGCTTGGTTAAAGCGATGCAATTTTTCTTTTCAATTAGTACAATTCAACATTTTTTCAAAAAAACATTTGGCAATATTTTACTTGCATATTTAATCTCCATGCATAATAAAGTTTCAGAATCTAAACCCAATTTGAAGATGGGAACTAATTCAATACAGATAAATCCTGAAATAGCATTACAGCAGGCTAAGCAATAAAGTTAATAATATATATATATATATATATAATCACTGAATATATCAGAATAACTGTTGTGTGAACTAGTTTAGGATCGCCTTCTAAACAGACGGAAGCAGAAATAAATGTAAAAAAAAAATCTTTATGCTGACACTGTATCTGATTCTTCATATTATGCATCATCAATCATTTAAAAAAAAAAAAAAATACTACGCTTTTTTTGGGCAGGATACACAAATACACACCCACATAAACAGTGGGCAAAAGGGAAATCAACTTAGCTGATTACTAATGACTACGCTCAAGCCATGGGACGTGGACACGCACTCATAAAACACACATCATCCATCAAGCACATGTGCTCACCTCGTCACTTCATCTCTGACACAACCGTTAAGCTGAAAGGTACGACCTCTCTTCCCCTTGGCATAATTACAATAAATTGCATTTGCACAGAATGCTGATCAGGGACCATCTTTCATCACTGATTCCATTCATCAAGACGGAACATAAAAGTCATTGATTTTCAGGGAATTTTACATCAATCAGCTGACAAATGATAATTGAATAAAAGCTGTGTTTCTTAAAAATCCAAGCTGTTAAAATGGGACTTAATATTGACTTCAATTGAGTTTAAACTGAGCTAAATATATTTTCCTTACCCTCGGACGCTTTCACAAACCTTTACATTTTCATTAAGTCATAATTAAGTATGCTTATCAAGCCCTTTTCCTCACAGGTCTCCACTGTATCTAATTTTAAGATCATTATAAGAACATATGTTCCTCTCAATGCAGGCAAAGCCTGACCCACACGCACACTCAAATTTATATTCATGCACACACTTATTCCAACAGACACACTTATCAAAAGCTAGGAAAGCTACATCTGTTTAATCCCAGACCGTACGGAGTGCCATTCGCATATCGTGTTCTACATTCTGACACACTCACACAGTCTTACCAAAGTCTTTATGCGAGGACATCCAGCCGATGCCTTTGAGAGAGACGATAGCAAGAAGTCCAGATCCCACAAAGGAGCCGATGCCGGAGAAGAAGAAGAACAGGCCCATTATAGCGCTCTGCATGGAGCGCGGGGCTGCAGAGTAGGCGAACTCCAGACCTACAAACACAAGAAAATGCAGACACCAATGATGAAAGTCTGAAGTTTGCTTCCAATGCATGATCAGAATCTTAAAAGTATCCAAGGCACTCTACGCGTCCACATGCACAGAAAGAACACAGTCTTGTGGAAAAGATGGTTGAAAATACAGGCTCGCTGCATGTAGATACAAGTGCTCACAGACAAAGACACATGGGAATTCACTAAGAATGAATTGCAACTAAAGCACTGTTTATTCTCATACACTTTCTATACTGTTGTATCAACTTGCAGCCAAAGAGTTCTGACTTTTTTGAATCTTAATGAGCCTTATTCGCATAGAAATGAGGAGTGTTTGCATTAAAGAGTTAGTTCACCCAAAAATGAAAATTCTGTCAGTATTTACTCACTCTCATGTTGTTTATTTGTTCTGCTGAACACAAAGGAAGATATTTGGAAGAATGTTTTAATCAAACAGATCTCAATCCCCATTGACTACCATAGTAGGAGAAATGGGGAATGAGAATCGCGTCTCGGAGATCCGAATCGGACGACAGACGTTGCCTAGCAACACGCCCCCTTTCCTCGGATTTCTCCTCTTGGACGTCGGACAACCGTGAGGACACCGAGCAAGAATTCCGTTTCGGAATTCAAGATGGCTGCGCCCTGTGACTTGTAAGAATGAATTGTTTTCATTGTTTTTGAACCGCTTTGGTATTTTAAATGACGATTATAATCACTCGTATTACGGCGTCCTCTGTCGGTATGGGAATCGGTTGTTGTGAGTGCAATTACTGACGTTGCTAGCGTTGCTAACGAAGATTAACATGAAGAACCTTAATAAAGTGAACATTTTCAAGTTCAAATGGCTGCGTTTTAATAAGGTGTAGTCATAATAATTTTTTTTTTTAATGTAAGTGCCTGGTACTCGGCCAGTGCTACCTATAACAGCTTTCCGGGTGGCGTCCATTTTTTTCTCCGACTCGGACGCGCAAAACAAATAGAACGCTTGAAGTGTGGACGTGACGTCAAATCTGAGGTCCGAGTCGGTTCGTTGGCTATAATAGAACGCACCATTAGTCCCGGTAAGGTTGGTTTTCCTACTGGGAACGCTGGGGGGAGCAGGGAAAGTCACATTCTCTCCAGAACAGGTTATTAAACCATTCAAATGATTTCTAAACGGTTTAAAATAGTTCCCAAGTGCCCCTTTAACATTAATTACAGACAGCAGTAAGTGTATTAGACTGCTGTCACTTTAAGACCGAACATATCCTAATTTTCCACAAATCGTTGCATTCATTTAACACTTTTAAGATTGTGCTTATGAGGATATTTGACAAAACAGGAATTTTGGCATAATTTTGTGTATTTTTCTCTGTACAAGCATGAAAGAGAACTCAATGGTGTGCTGTCGTGTCGTGCTGTCTGAAGCGGCTTTCTGTGTGAGAATTTCGGGTGTCTGTTCACAGAGAGCTTCTTCACAGCCAGTGAATATTTTAATTATTTGTCTTGTCACATTTCAATGGTTTAATAGCGCTTGAATAAATAATAGCGTGATCATATACTGTAGCGCAAAGCATGAATGAAAAAAATAAATGCTGCGTTAATTGCTTCGATATTTTTTAAAGCATCAAACAAACAATTAAATGCATGCGTTAACGCATTCATTTTGTCAGCACTGATATATATATAAATATATATATATATATATATATACATACACACACACATCCATATGCCAACTCGCTGAAGATTTTTTAGCATGGTAATAGATATGCGAATATTAATTTGGTCTTGGCAGCTGCTACTGTTGATTACAGCTGTTGTTGTAGATTACTGCAGCTACTGCTGCTGCTGAGCAAGTACAGGAACTTGATGCTGTCAATACATTCCCAGACATGCTGCTGTGAGAAAGTCAAAACATACTGCTTTTGCACAAATCGTATATAAAAAATTAACCATAGGAGATGTATAAAGGTGGAGCTGGGAGCGTTTCAGAGGAAATCTGCTGCGCTGCAAAGCAAACTGCAACGCTGCAAACTATATTTTTTATATTTTTTTAAAAATGCACCTTCTAATTTGTATATTACCTTTTTATTAGCTAATAAAACATTTTATTTCTGTATTTAAAAACGTTTTTTGAAATAAATTAGTTTTACATACAGTATATCTATTCTATCTATTTAAAAAAAGTTTTTACATGCATCTATTTATTTGTCAGTGTGTTATATACATTTGAATGAATCAACTGATAATTTATTCCTGCATTAGATCTTAAAATTGCATCCCTACATTGCTAACATCCACCAACAAAGCAGACAAGAAGCCCTTTTTAGATGCACCAGCCAAAAATTGCTAAACATTGCTAAAACATATTTGGAGATGAGTGTGTGTAGTGTGTGTCCATACATCTGTAGCACTGATGAAGGTCTGGCAGCAGAATGACTCAGAAACACCTACACAACTGCCAAAACCAGCACAAATCCCGAAATATTTACAAAAAGACGCCAAGAAAAAAACAAAAAAACAGAGAAAATCAGCATATAGAGGATGCTGAGTGGCGGAAAGAAAAGGTGAAATAGTTCAGGAAAGTCAGGGGATGTAGAAAGGATGCAGAAGAAAAAAAAGAGAAGATCAAATCTCTTTTTAACCCTGAGTGGTGGCTGCCTGCTGGCTGACATTGATAATTTCATGGCGCCTCAAACTTGTCATTTTTAAAATTATGGCTTGTGGGCACAACTGTCAGACTCGCGTACTGAGCCTGGTTAGGCCATGAATCTTCTCTGATAGATGGACAGATAGTAAGAGAGAGAGAGAGAGAGCACAGGGGTAAAACTGCTAAAGAGAAAAGGGAGGGATTCCACAAAATTGAGCAAAAGAGATCATCTAATCCCATCCCACAATCCCACGCTCTCACTGCTCTGAAACAAATGCACATTAGGAGGCAGGAGGGGCAGAGAAAGAAAAAAAGTGAAAGAGAGGGAGATGAAAGAATGCGGCTGCTCTATTACAGTGTTTATAGTTGTCTGCGGGCATGGTTGACCTTTTCTAAGTGCTGTTTGTGCGATGGAGGATGCCTGACGACAGCAATCAGATGTTTGAGAAGCCCTGGGCTCAAGAAACACTTAAAACAACAGTAACAGTTCAAAATCAATCAAGACTATAAAAATGTTAGGAGCTTCTTTTTTTCTAAAATGGTTTGATTTACAGTGCAATATTGTGTTACATACTACAATGAACTGGAATCAATTTTAACTCGACTCGTGTGAACGATATGCAATGCATTGACCTCTATAGAGTAACAAATACCACTGGCATCACCTGCTGTTAAATGTTATTGAAAGAAGTCTGTTATGCTCACCAAGGGCCAGATTTACTAAACGGCAAATTTGCGAAAGTTCTGTATATACAGTATACACACACACTGATGAGACAAAACATTATGATCAGTCACAGATGAAGCAAATATTGATGACAATCCCCTAAGGCCACATATTAAAGGAGAACTTTAACTTTATTAAAACTTTTGCTGATTATTAATAATCCCCATGTCATCCAAGATGTCCATGTCATTCTTTCTTCAGTCGAAAAGAAATGAAGGTTTTTGATGAAAACATTGCAGGATTTTTCTCCATATAATGCATGACACGAAAAAAGATTTGTTCATTTGATGAACGAGTTTGAATAGGAGAGTCACGAACGCGCATCACAGAACAGAGCAAGGCGACCATCTGAGCTTATAAAACTTAATCTTTGTTAATTTTTTTTTTTTAATGAACGATCGGTTTGCTTGATAAAGACCCTTATTCATCGTCTGGAATCGTTTAAAGCCCTTTGAACAGTTTGCACTGAAACTGTCTTTTGGACCTTGAACCGTTTGGTTCCCATTGGGTTCACTCAACGAACGAAATAAACGAATTGACTCGAGAAAAGATTTGTTCATTTTGATGGACGAGTTCGAACAGGAGAGTCACGAACGTGCATCACAGAACAGAACAAGGCGACCATCTGAGCTTATAAAACTTAAACTTTATTTATTTATTTATTTTTAAGTGACGTCTCATTTCGCTTGATAAAGACCTTTATTCATCGTCTGGAATTGTTTAAAGCCCTTTGAACAGTTTGCACTGAAACTGTCTTTTGGACCTTGAACCATTTGGTTACCAGTAAAGTCCATTATATGGAGAAAAATCCTGGAATGTTTTCATCAAAAACCTTCATTTCTTTTCGACTGAAGAAAGAAAGACATGGACATCTTGGATGGCATGGGAGTGAGTAAATTATCAGCAAAAGTTTTTTTTTTTTTTGTTTGTTTTTTTAAAGTGAACTACTCCCCGCACTTTTAAGTGCCTTTAAAAGTGAACTAAGATCTGGTTAAATTAGATGGTAAGCAAAAAATCAGTTCCTAATGGGCAGAAATAAAGATTGGAGCAAATTTGACAAGAGCCAAATTGTTATGGCAAGGTGACTGGGTCTGAGTATCTCTGAAATGGCAAGGCTTATGGGTTGCTCCCAGTCAGCAGTGGTTGCTGCAGTCTTGACATGACCATCCACAATATCACGCAAGAAGAAAATAATATATATATAAAATCTGACCTTTTCTAACTTCAAAGCTGAATTATTCAAAAAAGAAAAGACATTTAACTTAAAATATTCTGGTTTTATTTCTCCCCTTGCAGAGTTGAGCAGTGGGCAATTTTTCTTTCTCAGAAAGAACATTAGCCTTTAACATTTTTCGGAGAGAACGATATATAATTCAAATTCCCAGGGGAGGAAAAGAAAAAAAAAAAAGTCCGGTTTTAGGTCTGTCCCCTCAAACTGAGTCCAAACATATCTCCCGCAGGTGGGGCATGTGTGTAAGTGCAAGTGTTCGTCTACAACAATGTGAAAAATCAGAATCAACTCAGCTTCCGCTGTCATCTGACAGCCCACGACAAAGCGAGCACGCAGTGGACTCCATTAAAACGGATTTATTCAAACAGAATAGGGCCAGAGGAGGGAACTTTCCAGAGACATTTGTC